ACAGTATCGAGCCTTCCCCGTGGTACGCTGCACTGCCACGGGGCGACGACCCTTTCAAACCCCACTCGTGGGAACTATATGGATAGACAAAATGAAAACAAGAACCCAGGATCACCGACTGGAAAATTGGTGAGCGGGAGCCAAGCCGCACAAGTCGAGATGTCCAGAGACATGGACAAGAACGTTAGGGATGTGTCCACATCTAGACCAGACGCAGACTCCGTCTACAACGTAGCCAAAGTTCTCCGGAACTCTTTGGCAACCCAGGATGGAGGCTTCAAAGTTTTGCTGCAGAAGGCAGCGACTCTCGAGGTCTGGGCGAACAAAATCAGGAGCCCAGAAGCCAAGAACGCCATCGAAGCGCTGCTAGAGGTGATCTCTGGCATGAAAAACAGTCGGGACGAAGTACATATGGCATTCAATGCCATGTCACAGCGAATCCCGAAAACTGAACAGGTACGCGTACCACCAACACCCGCGGTAGCCACCACCTGCGCCTCAACGCAGACTGTAGTTGCTGTGGACAAAAGGAGTACGTAAACCGAATCCGAAAGTTCGAGGAGGGAGATAGCCGAACCAATACGAATTTCCACCGAGGATGCCGCTACCGAAACCCCATGCTGGTGGGATGTAGCGTCCGTGCCCGCACTACCATCGAGGAAGCACATGTCGAGTATGCAGCATGTTGAGCTCAAGGGACCCAAGAAAAACGGCCTAGAGAAGGTACCCAAATTCCAGCATCAAGAGCCTCCAACTCGACAGCGTGTGAGAGACCGGCAACCACCATCGAACCTAGATTCGAAAGAGGTCAGTTTGCCACTAATGGCGGAACAGGAGTTCACGGTGGTCGAAACCAAGAAATCCAAGAGAAGGAGGGCGAAGGCCGATTCCCAGGCTGTCAACTCAGTAGTCGCCACTCGTCAACCCGCTAAGGTCATCAGCAAGCGCAGACGAAAAACCAAAAACTCAGGCTGTGGTCCTTGAGAAGCCGCCAAACACCTCCTACGCCGACATACTGAGGAAGGCTAAAGCGGCGGTACGGGATGAAAAGCTTCCATACGATATTTCGACGAGAAGGGCAAAATCCGGTAACGTCGTTTTCGAAATGTCCGGCAAAGAGCAAGCGGATAAATTGGCAGGTGTTCTCCAAAGTAAAATGGGCGACTCAGTCGGCATAAGGCGCCCATCACCGAGTGTCTCCCTATTGCTTATAGGGATCGAGGACTCCGTCGATGCCACGGAGCTGAGGAGTGCCCTAGAAAGTTACGATAGCGACCTGGTTAGCGTAAGGGACATCGTCATCAGGGAAAGTAAAAACGGAGTCAGATCGACTATTATTCGCGCCCCTCTCAGAGCCGGTATGAGGCTGATCGAAGAGAGAAAGATCAGGGTCGGTTGGGCAACCTGCCGCGTCAGGGAATTCGACAGGACGTCCCAGAGATGCGATAGGTGCAAGGAAACGGGCCACACATCTAAGGCATGCACTGGTCTCGAAAGGAGGAAGTGCTTCCGCTGCAAGGCAGAAGGGCACCTGATAGCTGACTGCGGCCAACAGGGGGCAAAAGTCCCGAACGCGTTGTGCCCGCCAAAATGACAGACGCCCAACGGTCATCAGCGGTTAAGGTCATCCAAGTTAACCTTAACCATTGCTGGGCGGCTCAGCAGTTGCTAACCCAGACCGCCTACGAAAGGAACGTGGACGTATTCGTCATCAGCGACTACCACCACAAGGGCTGTGAACAATCCTGGGCTATCAGCTCGGACAAGGGGTGCGCCATCTACTTGCCCCACAACTCAAGCGCAAGCCTGGTAACTAGAGGTGCGGGCGCGGGATACGTATGGGCTCGACTTGGCGAGCTCATAGTGTACAGCTGCTATTGCCCCCCCAGATGGTCCGACCTCGAATTCGATGCGTTCCTCGATAGCCTTGATCGCTCCATTTGCACCCACGATCGAGACGCCTTGTTATCGTTGTTAATCGCCGGGGATTTCAATGCCCACTCCGCGGAATGGGGTTCCGACAGAGAGGACACTAGGGGAGCTCTGCTGGCCAGTTTCGCCTCCAGTGCAAACTTGTTCCCCATCAACCAAGGCTCCGTCCCAACATACAGAAGGGTCAACGCGTCATCGGTAGTGGATGTTACCTTCGGCAGATCGCTTCCAGTCCACTACATAGCGGACTGGGCAGTGCTCTCGGACACTTACTCCGGAAGCGATCACTCTTACATTGAGTATAAGATCGTCAAGCGGACACGCGATAGGGAAGCATCAGCTGTTCCACAGACAACGAGTGCGGACGGTTGGGCACTGAACAAACTGTCGGAGAATTCCTTGGACGACTACTTGTTATCCAAGGGCAATGCATCCGGTCCACAATCGGACACTGCCCCGGAGCTCGTCGAACGCCTGCAGAGTTTTCTGGTCGGAGCCTGCAATGCGTCGATGCCCCGCAGAACCGTGTTCCCCGGGAAGAAATCGGCGCACTGGTGGAGCAGCGAGATCTCGGATCTGAGGAAGGCTGCAATATCGGCTCGTAGGCTTTATCAGCGTGCTGGACGCAGACGAGGATCGGACCAACGGACAACCGAGCATGACGCCTACCAAACTGCTAGGAAGGAACTGAAGCTAGCCATCCGCAAAGCCCAAGAGGCTAGTTGGAGAAGTCTGTGTGACGCCGTCGACAACGATCCTTGGGGGATACCTTACAGGATCGTATCGAAGAAGATGGGCCGGAAAGCAGCAGTCCCAGACAGCCAGTCTGTACAGACACTAGCCAGGGGATTGTTTCCTGCTATGCCGGCGATTGACTGGGATGCTTCCCCGAACTTGGAGGCCGTCACAGGACGCATAGTGGCCATCGAAGTAGCCCCGGCTGTGTTCAATGCCGAAGAGCTGGGTAAAGCAGTTGAGAGACTTCCACGCGGAAAAGCCCCAGGGCCTGACTGCATACCGAACGAGGTCATCAAACAGGCGGCTACAAGGTGTCCGAGCTTATTCTTGGGGACATACAACGCATGCCTGGCGAGCGGTTACTTTCCCGACGAGTGGAAGAGAGCGAGGTTGGTGTTACTCCGGAAGGGCCCGGACAAACCGCTAGACGAGCCTTCGAGTTTCCGACCCATCAGCCTTTTGGACGGTGCCGGGAAAATTCTCGAGAGAATGCTACTGAACCGACTCGAAGCTCACATCGCAGCCGTCGAAGCGCTGAGCGACAACCAGTTCGGTTTCAGGCGCTCTCGTTCCACCATGGACGCTGCGAACGCGGTTTTACGAATCGCCAGAACATGTAACGCGGGAGCCGTTCAGAACCGGGGTTTATGTGTCGTCGTGTCCCTGGACGTAAGGAACGCCTTCAACACGGCACCCTGGCTCCGGATCGACGCCGCTCTCCGGACGGCCTCCGTTCCACCTTACCTGGTAAGGATATTCCGGTCGTACATGTCTAACCATTGGCTCCAACTGGGGAACGAGGGCCAGCAACTAGCCGTAACGGGCGGCATACCCCAAGGGTCCGTATTGGGTCCCTCCTTGTGGAACCTGTTCTACGACGGCCTGCTTCGCATGCAAGTCCCCAAGGGGGTCAACATAATTGCCTTCGCGGACGACGTGGCTGTCGTGGCTGTTGCCCAAAACGGCGCACTCGTGGAGGAGCTGGTGAATCCGGTGCTGGCGGACATAAGTCGCTGGATGACCGCAAATGGGCTAACTCTTGCGCCAGCGAAGTCGGAAAGCATCGTGCTAACGGCCAAGCATGGCTACAGAGACCCAGTATTGTCGATAGACGGACACCGCATTCCGGTAGTCAATGAAATGCGATATCTGGGAATCCAGCTGGACACCAGACTGTCGTTTATCAAACACGCGGCTGCGGCAGCGGCGGGAGCCAGGAAGACGGCAACGGCCCTGGGTAGATTGATGCCGAACGTGAGCGGGCCATCGGAAGCTAAACGGAGACTGTTGATGTCCGTTGTCCATAGCAGACTCCTATACGGCGCCGAAGTATGGGCAGACGAAGTGTGTAAGACCAAGAAGGCCGTAGGGTTGCTGATGCAGAGCCAAAGGTGCGCCGCACTACGGGTCGCTCGGTGTTATAGGTCCGTCTCCGACGCGGCCGCGCTCGTATTGGCCCGTATGCCTCCGGCCCACTTGCTCGCCCTGGAAAGGAAGCGGGTCTCGGAATGGAGATCCAATAATCACGGTCCGGTACCTAGGGCAGCCATGACGAGGGTTACCATCGAGCAATGGCAAAGTAATTGGTTGTGTACCTCCAAAGCCCAGTGGACCAGACGGGTCATCCCAGACGTTGTTAGGTGGTGGTACCACGGTCCACAGTCAATAAGCCACCACATGGCTCAGGCGCTGACTGGACACGGGTGCTTTCAGGAGTACCTTTACTCCAGAGGTAGGGCACCTGATCCGACGTGCGTTCATTGCCCAGAGGAGGTAGACAGCGTGGAACACACGATTTTTAAGTGCGTTTACTGGGAACACGCCAGAGCGGCTATCACCACTTTGCTGGGTAGACCTCTACTTCCAGAGGACTTATCTGAGGTCATGTGCACCCCGAGCGGAGACGAGTTGCCGGATGACGCCGATCGAAAGAGACTGATCCTTGAAGCTGCCAGCAATCTTCGCCAAGCGTTCACTGTCATGGTCGAGGAGATAATGAGCAGGAAGTTAAGCCTCGAGAGGGAAAGGCAGAAAGAAGGTTAAATTATCTAAACGTAGTTAAGACGTATAAAATGTGCACCGAAGGTGAAAGCTAGGGGGTTAGAGGCCCCCTGTTTTGTTGTAAATTATCTTTTTATTTGTATTTAACATTGTACTATTGTTTGCAAGATAATAAACGATGGTGGCGGCTCGGCAGTAATACGAAAGTAGTTCCCGAGTCGTCTCCGGAAAAAAAAAAAAAAAAAAAAAAAAAAGGTTAGGTTAGGTTCCCGGTCGGGGCATGAGCATGCCGCCGGGCGCGTCCCCAGGTTGCGGATAGGGGAACGCCCTGCAGATATGCAGGGTAGCCGCGAAATAAGCCAATCCTTCGAGTTTGGACGAATAAGCGGTCGCGGACAAGCTCACCACCGGGGGAATGATCGACCCCCGGTGCCCTGGTAGATCGGAACGGAAAGCTGGAAAACTGACAGACGGCGCGAGGCTGGTGCCGTCGGTGGACCACAAGCTAAAATCTACAAGAAATGGACATGACGAAAAAAGTGAATATCGTTACTGCTACAGGGGGATCGGTAACTCCAGAGCCGGCGGTTGGGGGCACGCGCGCGCCCCAAAAGTCGTTATCATCGTCTGGCGCGGAAAGTGTGGATGTGTTGAAACAGGCATCCACCGCCAACCAAGGGGTTGGTAACATGACTGTTGGTGCAGGTGCTAAGCAGGCCTGCACCGGCGACCGGAAAGTCGCTTCGGCTACTGCGGAGGCCACGCTGGAGTTGGATTATGAATCGGCAACCGAGGCACTGAGGGCGGCAACGAAGCAGCTAGGGTCGAAGCTCTGCCTACAACAGGGTGGTTTGGACCTCCTGTCCGAAAAGGCGTCCCATCTCGAGCTTGTCTCTAAAAAGAGCCAGAGCCCCACAGTAAGATCGGCGATTAAAGAAATACTGGAGGCGGTCAAAGGGATTCAGAAATGCCGAGCCGAAGTAACATCGGCGTTTAGCCTGTCGCTGCGGTGTGTGAAGGCGCTGATGAATACTGGTGGCGTGAGCGCACTTACCAAGCGTGAGGGTAAAGACGCGGCTACCAGCACGAGATCCCTCGGTGCAATTGTTGTCCGGGGAAGTAAGGATGCTGCCACAAACACTGATTCCCCGCAAGCAGTACATAAGGCAGAGCTGCACCAGGGACAACAGCAACAGCGGCGGGAGAACAGAAAGAAACGGCAACGAAAACAGGAG